ATACTTCGTCGATGAAGCGTTGGCATGTTTGTGCTGCATTCCGGAGACCAAACGGCATACGTAGAAATTCAAAAATACCGGAAGGCGTAATGACAGCTGTTTTCGAAATATCCTCTGGTGCCACCTGGATTTAGTTATACGCTTTAATCAAGTCGCTTTTAGAGAATATAGCGACGCCAGATAATGTTGCCGTCAAGTCGTGTACACGAAGAAACGGGTAGCAATCGGGGGTTGTTTTGGCGTTCACTCGCCGTAATCAGCAGTGGGTCGCCAATCGTTTCTGCCCCTTTTCAGCCCCATATGCAGTGGGGATGTCCACGGGCTATTCGATGTTGGAATGATTTCAAGGGTGACTATAGTGTTGAACTGATTTCTAGCGATCCTCAGGTTATCAGGAGCAATTCGTCGTGCTTTAAATGCCACGGGCTGTCCTGAGGTTATGATGTGATGCATAGCATTGCTGGTTATGCACGGTAGATCTTTAGACAGGCAACTGAGTTCCGGACACTTATCAACAATCGGTTGGAAAGATAGTTCAAGGATTGCCTTCATCTAAACGAGTGAAAGGATGGAGCCTATGTAGGTCATGCCTTTGATAGACAGTTTTCTAGCACCGTCTATCAGTCGTTTTTGGCGGACTTCTACGAATAAATCATGATGATTACGTAGGTCCGTCCCAATGATGGGCATTGTGATGTCAGCGAGAAGGAAGATCCACTGAATAGATTTATGTGAACTTACGTTCACATAGATGTATTTCCTACCAAAGGTTGCGATTGGTTTTCCATTCGCAGCCTGTAGGTTGAAGGAATGTGGCAGGAAGGAAGCCGACTTCGACGCCTGTGTCAAAAAAGTATCGTGTCTGTTTGACCACATCACGAATGCAAAGTAGGCGACTAGTGCCACCGGCGACGGCTACCGCTAACGCGTGCCAGCAGATAGTTTCACACAGACTTTGAGACATTATCGAATTTACAAAGTTTTCGGCAACATTTCGCTTCCCGGCCATGAGTGCTGTGATACCAGGACCATTCAGGCTATTTTAGTGAAAGTAGCTTGGATTTAGAGTGACCACGTGAGTTTCGCCGTTAAGTGGATTTCGAACGACGGTAGCACGAATTGCAAGCCATGTTTGACCTAAGCATTCGCTGGACGGAGATGCAGAAATCTATCGCTGCTGTCAGCTAACTCGAATAAAGTGTGAATGTTCACCTCTTACTACGCTGAACCTCACGGTGTCCCTGGAAGACTTTCAGAAACACCTTGTACTAACCAACGCGAAAACCAGAACACAGATTGGCGACTCGAGAATCCTTTATTCTTACGCCAATATGTAACCAACAATAAGGTTATTATACACAAGGTCTAAGAATAAATGTCATAACAATAAATCACGATAATACTTCTGTTAGTTTTCACTCTTCCAACGAACAGCGAACGATGAGACGATGACTGATGGGTGGATGACTCCCGCGAAAAATATGGAGGAGTTGGGTTTGAGCAAACAACCATGAATTGATCGTTCAATCTTAAACTACATTGACAACTGCAGTATCCCTACTCGAAGTTTGTTTGGCGACTGAGCATATTTTAGAAACTGACCGTCTGGTTATCTCCAGAACTTTATCTGCAGAAATAGCTAAGTCGTCTAAAACAACACCATGAAGTGTCACAAATACAGTCTGTACTGTAGTTTGGATAAGAAAAGTTCTCTGAACGTTGGCCAACAACTTCCCTCATTCTTGTTAGCGTGCTCACGGTTGACTGGTCTCCTAACTTGACGATACGAAATAATTTGTCCAGACGCTTCCGATACGTGAGGACGTTTCCTCTTAGGAGGGTTGCTTTAAGCAACTCGTACGAGTTACTTACCTCTGGGCTCGACATCTGCACAGTTACTCACTTGCTGAATTCCCGCAGTAGGTCTTAGACGACTTCAAGGGACTGTGAACATTGATCAGCTATCCCATGCCCACTAAAATCGAACTCAGCTATCTGAAACCATGATTCAGCATTATCTGGCCAATATGGTTCAAGCTGAATTGTTTTGGCAGTTGAGCGAATACGAGTGACCTTAGGACTATGATCACTCATGATGAAATATATATAGTTTGAAAGTAGTACAAGAACAAATGCAAAATGGAACGAACTCACCGGATTTGTCTGTGTATTTACCAAAGATGAAGTTTGCGGTTGGGCTCACCAGTTTAGAGGCTGGCGGTATTGATGTTTCCGGATAGAATGAGGTATACTAACGCAAGTTCTAACACCCACAACTTCTATAGTATTCGTTCCACGTAGACCAAAGACAAAGCAAAATGCCACAATTGATCGTCCAAATTACGAGATATATTTCGGGACCAAATTGGAGTGTGAGGTGAATGCTAAGCTGACTAGGAATCGTGCGCGAACGTGACACGACGGAGTACTGGATGGCGTGGATGCCTGACCGGAAGCCTTCAGCTAAACAAATTGACTTAAGCAGTGAATGTCATTATCCAATGTTCAGTGATGAATGCTGTGGCCAATAATTTTGGAGAATTATTTTCCGCTACAACGTTACTGAGATCAGGTAGATGACATTGTGATAATGGCTAAAGTGTGCTGAATAAATATCGTGATATTCATCCGGATATCAACTCACTTTTAGGATTCCATTTGGAAAAGATTCGGTTAAGTTTTTGGGAAAGGGTAGTTTAATGTTAAGTTGATGTAATAAGGGAGATATTATTGTTGGATCAAGTTTGATTGGGATTAGTTTGGGGATTGTTTCGCTCTAGGGTTAGGTTAAACAAAGACAAGGGTTAAGATTAAAATAGAATGTATAGAATGTTGTTTGATTACTGTACTGATGTTCTAGATCACACGTCATAGTAACAGTTTCGTGCCATTTTATTTGCTACATCCGTAAATGTATGCACTTTATATGCGAAAATCCTTTTTCAAGTAATTGGCGTATCGTACTCAGTGCTTAAAGTTTAACTCGTATCAACCTTAATATCTCCATCGTACAGTTAACCTAACCTTAATCTGTCCCTAGCTTAAACCCATTCTCAGTCCCTTGCAAACCTAACCTAAAACTAGCTAGATGTCCCGTTAACTATCATAACATTTCATTAGGCACTTTTTTCATCACTGTAGTGTCATTTACCAAGTTTCACTAGTTTGCTGACTGATGCATTGGTGCTTAGAGTCCCTTTCACCCTCGCCCCTTGGTGACTCGAAACTATAGCAGCCTAAAACAAAACTACCTCTAGTGGTCAATCGTATTCGTAGGAAGTAGAAGTGAGCAATTTGAAATATACGTCTATATACAAGTAGTGCAATGTTAAAAAGTGGTTATATGGGATAATATTCTTGCAAATGTTCCAAAAATCCTCGCAGTTTCTCACAGGAGTCCTCGTAGTCAGGTTAAACCGATTTCTGTGAATAAATTCATCAAGGTCATCAATCCGTTCATTAGGTAGTTTCGTCTTGGGCTGCAATAGTTTACAGTCACCCACCCCTTTATCTTACCCCTAGGCGTTGAAAGTAGATAAATCAGATCAGCAGAGATCATTTGAAGCGAAACGCTTATTGCATTCATGACTAGTGACATGACTGTCTGTTCAGGATCATCTGATGGCCGCTTTAGTTTGGACTCATCACTTTTCCTTTATCTTTCTAGAGAAAAGCGAGCGAATCAACATTAAGCGCGAGTACATGTTTCGTCCTGATGACGCAATTAAACAATTAAAGCAATAAGAAATCGTGAAAATTTAGTGCGTTATGTCACATGGAAATTCATGTATCCCAGTAATTTAAGCAGATCGCTGTTGCATATCCACTATTATGTTCTCGCATTATCGAAGCACTCTCGTTAGCGTGCATGACTACACCAACCTCAGCAAATCATGATATAAAATAATACACTTTTATGAAATTGCTAATATTACTACATTGTTTTGCAGTGTCCATTGCCGGTAATAGCCGTTAAATCTACATCCACCAGCGGTACCCCAATGTTCTTTCACTCCTAGTTCAGTGGAAGCAATTTGTAGTGTGGTAGTGACTGCTTTTAGTTTAGTTGCCTAACAGATGACCTCCGTGATTAGCTATGAACTTCAGTAGCATCTTGCTGTGTCATTTCAATATGCGATCCACACTAACATGCAAAAATTGAGACTAATTTAGGTAAAATGGTTTGTGAATTCTGTATTTCAAGGTGCATTTAGCCAGGAGTCGGCCCAAAAAGAAAGAACTGTACATTAAGGGGCATAGTACAGACGCTTTATTTCTCCAGGGGTTTGCGCCAAATCCTGTATGGAACAGCTAACACAGATCTACTTGATCGCTTTTGATATCTCTGCGACTTGTATCCATTGCAAAAGAAACCCACCCATACATCAAACTAATCTTCACAAATCCAACAACCGAAATTCTATGCTGGATTGATCGATATTTTTTATTACAAATAAAGTCCCTGTCATTAATGTCTGCAGAAAAATATGAAGAAGTCGTTTCCCCATTAGATAATTCTATTTGATGTAGCACACAGCGATACAGTATTACTAACTGGATTGTACTATATCACTTTGTGTATCGTAAAACGAGCTTATCTAAAATTAAATTATACTCTCTCAGAGTGGCCAAATTATACTATAACTTAAAATTCATCTCACGTCACCTAAACAACTGACTCCAGTTTGCAAACTGCACGTAAGCAATAGTTACTGGTCGGGTGATTACACCAGATTAATGACATATCTTCTGCCCAGTAGAAAGATCCTATTACAGAAGCACAGTTTAAAATACATTCATCAGAATATTTTATTCCTATCTGTTATACTTGTTCAAAGAAATTTAACTCGTCAGATATCCGACAGACTTATCTTTAAGGAAGTGTTATATATATATATATATATATATATATATATATCACTAGCTTAGCGAAAATAGACAGCTGTAATTGTAATAACTTATACTCAACTTCAGAAATTATGAAAAGTGAGAAACAACCTAACATTTTATCACAGATTACCCAACTCGGTAAATTATTTTACGTCCATACTGGCGACTGGGACTCTTGGTATTCAGAATGGTGTTTTTTCTTCTCCCTTCTAATATATTAACCACCTGTCTACCATGATAATATTTTTATCGCCTGCAGTAAAATAACTATAGAGCTTCATGAAAGAAAAGTTATTATGCAAAAGTGGTAAGGCTCAAAGTGAGGACAACCACCTTATCAAAATAACTGAGGCATAAAGCCAACTAATCAACAGTTGAAAAGTGAAAGAGAAAAGGAGTTAAGAAGTAAAAAATAAAGGTAAAAGCATGATGTATTTTACATTCTGGAAATGATTTGCATGCTTGAGCATGACTGAATACCAGGTGTTATGAACTCTAGCACTGGTCAGTTACAAGCACTTTGTGGAAGAGAAGAAGGACGTTTTCGGAATGTGTTATATGCAGTAACGGTATCAACAATGACTCACTCAACTTGACGATGAATTAATCAAAAATGAATAAATACTAAGTAAAACTGAAGTTTAACTGAAATTAAATCACATTATGAAGTTGTTTTTTGTTTTTAAATATGAAGAGGTTTACTATACAAGAAATAAAGTTATCTTTCCTTTGCTTCCTCTCCCCATTTTCACATGTACCATTTATATCTTCGCCGAAATACACTCACTGGAAATTGGAAGCTAGTTAAGAAGGACTTGTGAAGGAATTGAGCGGAATTCCAGAAGATTGTAACAGTTATTTGTTGATTTTCTCTTTGCAGTTATCCAAATAATCCACGTCTAGTTACTTTAGCGGATAATATGTTGTGAAGAATAAACACAACAGGCTTTGGACATCCCAGCATGTCTAATTCCTGATATAAAAAATAAAAAGGTAACTACCATTAAAGACAACACAACACTATACAAATCACAATTTAGGAAATATTTGCTAGACAAAAACTATAAGTAATAGCAATCACTTATTTTTATCAGATTATTAATAGGCAATTTTGTAGCTGTTTTCATGTTTGTCATTTTATAAAAAGCACTTAGAAAGTGAATTTAAATTAATAATGTGGAGTATGTTGCTGACAAGAAATCTTAAGTGGTATATTGTGTGGGATGGCTTCCCCAAGACGGATTTAATGTTGAAGAGGAGGAATGAAGGTCATTGTAAAACAGTATGGGAATCATGAAATGAAGACAAAAGTAGCGGAATACGCATAACTTTCGAAAACTAAAATTTCAATGTAAACTTTCTGTATTATGCCATCAATAAACATCATTTTTCCAAATAAACAATTCTGCTACCAATTACCAATGTTTTGCCATTAAAATTATGTTAGGTCAATATTAAATGAGGTGTTTCGAGTAAAAGACAAACAATAGTCCTCTGATGTATACTGGGTAACTTTCCGAATACACTGGAAACGATTAGTAATGTGCCATTGAAAGCATTGAATTGAAAGAGAACTATTCAGCGTAACGTGGAGTTTATCTCTGGATTCAAAGATAGCTACTTTTATAATCACCCTTTTGCACTATCACCGGATCTGACTTCTTCCTCAGCAGAATTTCGAAACACTGAGACTTTCTGGCCAACTCTAGCTGAGACTAAAGAGAGTCACGAACAAGATGAATTCTGGATTTTTGAGCAAGAGAAACGACAAAATGGTCTTTTTGTAGAAATCATTTCTTTTCCTAAAGTAAATAATATATTGGAAATAGTTTCTAGGTAAAAGTAGCCATAAAAATCCTGTTTTGATGCTTATCATGTGTTAGGCTTTCAGTTTGAAAGTATTAGGCAGAAAATAATAGCTAGAACTTTAGGGCTACTTAAAGAGATTATTTACCCTATGTAAGTTGGATAATAATGATAATGGTACTGAAATGTGCCATGGCATAGTCTAATTCCTTTTCTATTGTTTCTACATTTACTTACATATTCTCCATCAGGTCCGAAATCAATCCACAGAATAGTTTTCCCATCATCGGCAGTTGATCGCAATCTTTCATATGGATATTGCCATATCACATGTTCACCCATCACACTGCCAGGTGTAAGAGGCTGTGAGGTTGCATGAGCAGATCCCGTTGGATTTTGGCGACATAATAATTTCAAACCAGTATCATAATGTAATGTCAAGTGGCAATCGTAATTCTGCCACTACAGGTGATAACCACTTCTTGAGCTGCGGCTACGGCCATATGTGCACCTTCAATTATTGCGTTAGACCAAGTTATTAAGTCTTCTTGATTCGATACAGCAAAAGTATGAGATTCAACACCATGCTTGCTACCTGAAACGTAATCGAGTTACAGATCAGAAACAAAAAAATATAAAAATTATTGTGTAATTTTTCCCATCACAAATTCTTTTAGTTTAATTTTATTTTTTACTTTGATTGGACACTGGTCACTGACTAGTGTAGTGTGTCAAGTCCTTTTATTTGGCACAGACTGAATTCTGTCAGTCAAGTTTTCAATGTGGCCAGCATCCTTGGTGGCTAGACATCACGGTGAACTTTGCGCCCAAGAAGGAATTACACACCCCACACCAGTCATTGGCCGGTGTCCAGTTAAAGTATCTAATACAGTCCCACAGCAGTTCAGTCACGAGAACGAATGGCTTAGTGGTAAAGTCTCTGGCTGCAGCACTCGTTGATACGGGTCTGAATATCAAAAGGGAAATGAGTTCCTTCAAGGATGCAAACATGCCTTGCTGACGAGTGCCAACTAGCACAAAACCTTGGCTCAGGACCTCCAACTATCTGATGCTTCAAAATTTTATTTTTCCATATATATATATATATATATATATATATATATATATATATATATAATCAGTTGTAGGGAAACACCATTTACAAAAATTTGGACCTAATTCACTGTTTATGTATTGTTTGGTCAGCCGTAAATTGTAGAAATCCACTGGATTCAGATATAGGAGAATCTATGTAATACTTCTTTAGAAAGAAAAGTTTTGTAAAAATTATCTTAAAATCTTCCATAAATAATCGCTCATAAGCTACGTGAAAGCCACCATAGCTCATAAATCTTTTGAATGAAGAAAGCGGTAGTCAAAACTGGGCGTCTCAATAAGTTCTCATTCAGATTAGGTTTACACACTAATATTGTACTTGAGTGAACCGTTGTGTTTCTACAAAAGTAGCGAGGTCAACTATCTTTGAGATTCAATTTGTGGATGGTGGCTAGCAGTGGAATCCAGGATGCGCATTTCGTCCTATTTGGGACTCATAAAACAAAGGACGAGAAAATCTAAAATTCAATTATATCTTTGAGACTATATGAATATTTTCCATGAAATCAACAGGAAAAAGAAGGGGAACATCATATGGAAAGACTGAACAAATGAAGAAACAGATTTATGTGACAAAACCTATGGATTTTCATGTACACTCTAAGAATCCTAAGACACAGACGGGTAACAGGATATCATAGTAAAACTGTATACATAATTTGAAAAGTAACTTGAGAAGTGATGTACGTCTAATGTGATATTCTAAAATCTTCTTTTGATTCTTACTGCCATTCATCAGTTATAAGGAGATATAAACAGGAACAAATTGTTATTCTCTTGTAAAATTAAACTTATATTAGCCAATATCTCAACCGAAAATACTTTCAGTGGGTTACACGAATAAAAAATAAGTTGATGCACTAATACTAGAAATTGTGCGTCTGCTTTTCAATAAATTATGTTCTTTTGTCAAGTTAAGGCCAATACTTACTGAATAATGCACAAAGTAGAAAGTTTTAAAAACTATTAGACGTTTTTAGATATATGACTATCATTCAAAATAGATGTATCTATTGGACAGTAAACACCTTTTTTATCTTAGCCGAAAATCATAAATCTGATATTCTAGTGATTTGTTGTCTTCAACAAGAAAAAAAATCAAAAAAAGATAGATGTAATAGTTGCAATCATCAATACAACTGCCACTCATAAGTCCCACTTCAGACTTAGAACAACAGAATGCAATAATTAACAGAGCTTGTAGCGGACATCTTTAGTCAATTGAAATACCTGTCAAACGCAAACCCACTAACACATTCACAGGGGATGAATACAATTCTTCACTTTAAATAATACAGTGATAAACAAGCAGTTTTACCTCCATATACTCCCTTCACTTGATTAGTTTGAACAAAGCAAGAACGAAGATATTTGCAAAATATGTGTTTTGCTGCCTCGCAATACTCAACCTGGTTTTGATTTTCACGTATTAAGCTGAAATCAGTAAAAACCTTTTGAATTTACTTATTTATTTGTTTACTTTTATTTATCATAACTGATCTGATATTTAGGCTGCTAGCAGTGAAATCCTGCAAATATCTTTATTCACCCTTTTTTCAAACAATTTTAATAGAAGATATAGAATAGATGTATGTTGAAATCTTTCTGAATAATTGTTTGACGGCTTTTTTTCACGCACGTGGTCCCCTTGATGAATACTGATAAAGCGAGAGATACCAAATTTGCAGTATACAGTGACGTCATTTTATTTCACTGTTTCTCAAGGATTACAATCCGAGAAGCAGAGGATGCGGACAGTGGAACATAGAAATGGGGAAAAACCATGAAAATGATGACAATGTCTTGTTTAGATCTGAAAAAGACTCTGGTGTTGTTTTAATGAACAAAAATTTGTCTACACATAGAGTGCTAACAGCTCTTAGTGACAGAGAAAGCTTACTTGTGGATAAAACTAAAAACGGTGAAACAATGGATTTACAAAAGAATAAAAGGAGCAGTAAAAAGATGTTTTTTTTTATAGATAACAGTGAACAGTTATACAGCACCATTTGCTCAAACAGTTGATGTAAACTGGTTAAGTGCCTTAGCGATGTCAATTCCAACTGATTTAATAAATTTACATTCACTTGCTGTTAAAAAAAAATATTGGAAGGACAGGAAGAAGGACTCTTATTCACTTTTCTGAGCATATTTCGAGAAATTTATGCCGAAAGAGAGGCAGATATTCACAAAATGCAATTTGCAGATACCTCTGTGATATCAGCGTTTCGTTGAGCTCTCTAAATCGTTAAGAATATTAAGTGTATGAAGGATGCTAAATTTACCACAATTTGTCGAAACGACCGCAATAAAATGTTTTCAACCAAAATTATGCATACAAAAAGTGAATGCGATCAGTTTTTCACCACCATTGGTAACTGCATTTTGATTTTGATTAGACTGAGGGCACAATCGTCTATACTAGTGATTTTACCCCCACTGAACTAATTTCAGCCTTTTTGAACTGTAATTTCTTAGAATTGATATGTAACCTTATAAGTTTAACATTGTCCATTTATTTTTTTTTCTGTCTTCTGCTGTACTGCCCTCATATTCTACTTTGTAATGCGCATAAATTGATAAGGATTTACACTGGAAAATTCGTATTCTTACATTTTAGAATCCTCAATCTATTGTATTTTTTAGACTATCATTCCAATATTGCAGTAAGTTATTTTTGTTCTTTTTTACCCATTATAATTCCAGGTAGTCAACATCTAACGAGAATCTTTGAAATAAATGACGTCATTTTATACAACAAATTTGATCTTTCCGGCTTTATCCAAATTTTTTCCTTGATTAAACAAGTGTTAAGTCAAAGTATTATCACAAGCCACTATTTACACTTCTTTATTCCAAGTTTCTTCCTGGTGTACAACTGGTACGAGTAATAAATCAATGTCAGAGTCAAAACTTTTGTGGAGTTAAACTTCTCACCACTATTTTCTCAGCATGATGAAGAGATATTGATGAATAATGCGAAATACAGTGATGCTTATTCAGTTAGTGCTACCATTAAAAATTAACGTGACCAACACAGAAAAATGGTTGGAATTCCTTAAATTCGACTTGATTAATCACTAATTTAGTGTAAATCAAAGTTATAGGAAGTAAATATTTTTTAGTAAATCAGTATAGGCCTATCTTCTGCCTACTGTATAGACACTCATGGAAAATATACATACTGTTACATATATGTTAACCACTGTACGTTGTAATTGCTTGACTTTTCACTAAATCTATTACTTTACATTTTTTCTATAGTTGTTTTATTTGGATTAGATTTGTTTTCCCGAGTTGATCGCGGGTTGATATCAGTTAGAGAAACATTGAAAACCAGGGAGTACTGGACAGCTACTGTTTCATCCTAGTTTGGGAATCATCGGCAGTTTACACCCACTGGGGTTCGAACCCAGCACCTTCCGGTTACAAGGGGAGCTCGTATACCATTCAGCCACTGGGACCCGATTCAATGGCTCATGAATTCTAACTTCTACCAGCTTTTAACTGGTTTCAAAAGGTCAGAAATGGTTAAGAACGCAGTCACATCCTTATCAGCTACCACACGTTGCATAAATTATACAAGGTTGAATGAAGAAGGACATTACGCATCACTTTCACAAAGCCAGGGAGAGATCAGTCAACTCAACAAAGACAAAGCTTCAGAACTTAGAAATAGTTGGTTAGTATTACTGAATTACTTCAGTATACAAAACACCATGATTATTCTGAGATAGGACGAAATGGATAAAGGATCCCGTATCCATGTATTACTAGAGATCAGACAACCAAACTTTCACCCAATTTCAGTTTAATTAGACTGATGAAATAGTAGGTTTTTCTAAATTACCTATAGACTTGTGACACATTCCTCCATAAATCGCGGGCAATTATATATATATGGTGAGAGCAGGCCGTGAGAAAATATGTACAAGGCTGATTCAACAACCAATCACAGCAGACTTAGCGTGGCAAAATATGATTCGCAGATAGAGAACTCTATTTTCCGAGGAATCTCGAAACAACCAATCAGAAGCCTGCGTTTGTCTGCCTAACTTCTGATAAACAACCAATCAGATGACTGCGCTTGTCTACTTGCAAAAGCTATAATAATGTATGTGAAATATATATAAATACGTGATGATTTTCATAATAAAACGATCTGTTGCCTGGCCCTTGTCTTCTGTTGTTACATATATATATATATATATATATATATATATATATATGATAGTTATTTTGCTTACCTGTCCTAGTTAGAAAAGTGACCATATCGGCCGGTGGGTGTCTTCGACCAATTTCATTCTGCGTACCAAGATCATTTAAATTTGACTTCCTCAAATCAATTGGAACTACACGAGTGGCTATTAAAGGATGTGCTTGTACAGGATTAGCCCATTCTTCTTTAGAAGTAGGCGCTGTATCGTACAATAATAGGTCTCGATCTGATAGTGCAGCAAATACTGGCTTCCACGTTGTATGGATGGACTGAGAATTCACTGTGACATTGTCTCCAGATGAAAGGATATCGCTTACAATATTTCCATTGACATCTTCCGGATGGTCACTCGACCTATTTGATACGTCAGAACCAGTGCATCGTAATTCAACTAGCCAGTCCAGTTGCTTGAGTTCCTTTAATGAAAAAAAACGGTTTCAGTAAAAATGATAAGTTGGGAGAACTTTTGAAATATTTTTAACCTTAAATGACTACATCAAAAGCCCTCTAAAATCAAAATTGCAGTTGTCGGTACAAGGGAAGTGACAACAAAAAAAGTAACTAATAAGGGCTGTCATTAAGAAAAACTACTCTTATTTTAAACAATAATCGAATAATTTTTTTAATTTATTCATAAAATCATTTCTCTTCTTGAATAAGTTGAAATAGCTTCTGTAGAAAAAGAAAAAGATCTCAACATTACTTTTCTTGTCATACTTATCACATAGCAGAACAGCATAGTTTACTGGATATGATTTCAAATACGATTTATTGTTTCGTGATCATATGAATACACAGACGTAGCAATACATATAGACTCACACAACTATACAGTACGATGGGACACTAACAATCCTAACATCAAACATAGTAAGATGGAGGAGTTGATGGTCTAAGTTTTTTTAATGGGAGTAACGCAGACCTACATGCAACAGAAATAATTCATCACTTGTTACAGATATTCCCAAAAATCCTCTACCCCTGTGATGGTCGTTTAGTAAGAACTAAGACAATAAAAGTTGAGCCAGAAATTTTGAGAATTATACCTAATCTAATTATGAGGGAAATAGGGTTTAAAACAATATCCGGTAAAAAAAAAAGCATTTCACTATGTCATACATGTGATAAATGAACTGTTGTGGAATTTATACTATGCACTGCCAAGACTTCCGCCGAACACATCGAATGCAAATACGTATAAAAGCCATTTGTTAAGTTCTTTTAGTTAATGTGGTCCTAAATTATCACAAAAATGAAATTACATAGTACTACACTTCCCAGGTTTATACTTACATCAAAAAGGATGTATAGGTGAACCCTAATCTAGGAAACTTATTTTTGTATCAAAATTTATTTTGATATATGTATCTAGTCTTTAAGATTTATAGCTTATTGGGGGGGGAGGGGGAGGGGAAAGTCGGCAGGAAGCCTCTGACCCAGGTTTCGCGCCTATTAACTCTCGTCAGTGAGGCGTATCTGTTGTTGACGATTAGTGGAAACAGTTTTCTTTTGAAAACCCAATAATGTTTTCCTACTTATCATTTTAGTCATTGAGATGGCTTTTGTTGGTTAGTAGGGAGCACCTTTTGAAGTGAATCTATCCCTTTAGCTATATATGTTTCGTATGATTTATATAATTATTTGTGCTATAGTTTAACATCTGTATATTGTCTAGGTTGTGAAATCGACTCAACCTGGATAAGAGTATATTACTTTCAACACAGAAATGATGTGATCGATGAATTTTATTGCACAAAAAAGTGTGTGAGTGATATCACCAAATTCTGTAGTCAAGTTCTGTACAACGGTTTGACTTCATTAGGTGGAACAGAGTGTATTAGGCAGTTAAAACCATTTTTTTATTTTGTGTCTTCATGAAAGAGTTCACTTGTGTGTCAGAATATCGGTGAGAAAAATTGCGTATGTCAGAAACAGATTTTGTAAAATTATGTTACAACAGTTGTAACAGTTTCAATCAAGAGACATTTACAACCATTCATCACTTTCACACTAATAAGTCTCTACAACCGTATAGGTTAGAAAAAATTCTCTTAGAGAGGCAGCTAGGATGGAAATTATTTTGGTTGTATAAATAATTCTGATGTTACGGTGATTTTCTTTAATTTGATTAATAAGCTTGTTTTCCAATCATCAGTTGTGATAACATTTTAGGTACACATGATCTACATGATTTAGTGAACTTTTGAAAAATAATTGTCTCACTCTATGCTAAGTCATAGATCTAAACACATGATCAAAAAGTGCTGTGGACACATAAGTAGGTAACACCAACTTAGTTCAGTTGTATTTTGCTTGACCAAAAGACGAGACATCTGACAATTACAGAAAGAAAGAAATTGGTTTTCTAAAACAAAAAAGTATATTTTAGGGCAGTTGTCACGGTATTATCTGAAATTTGTTTGGTTTTTATAAGAAATAAAGGTAAGCTTTTACACTAGACTGTTTTACATGGAAGAAACATCCATCGATATTGCTCTTATGTGTTTTGGATGCAGACTTAAAATTAAGTTGGAATAATGGTTAATCATGAATGTATGTTCTGAAGCTAATCATTTTTCCCAGAATACGCTTAGTACCGTTCACATAGATAAACAGACAAATGAATACAACAGCAAACCACTGTGCATTTAACCATACTTTGTAACTTTAAAGTAAGAAAGAAATATTTTTGAAAGCTAAAAGACAAAGTGTAATTGACTAGACGGTTATCAATTAATAGTTTGACAGTGATTGCAGAAACGAAATTTAGCCATTTAAACCAGCCAGTCAGGTTCTTGTAAACTTCACTAAGAACCTTCGATATTGAAAAATAGAGAAGGAAATTAATCAGATCTTGAACATAACATAGAACGCAATTCCTTCCATTAACTCCAGGTGACCCGATCCGTTAAAAGCCATTGACTTAGCAAAATAAAGAAATACTATTTAGCATCCTACTCAGCAAATCAGGCAAAACATAAAGTGGTTCTCTTCATCAGACTTGTTCATTATAAAAACCCTCTTAACCAGATACATTCTTATTATTGTTAGGTAGTGACTAACAGTAGTCTAAAAGGCATACTTTTCATCCCCTTCATTACTCGACAAAAAGTAGATGCACCGGCCTCATCGTACACTGTTGTTCACTTTCTAATATCTTAAATACTAACTCAAATGTCCGAGTGTTGTTGTGCCGCAGAAAAATTTATGTTTGATTATGTTATTTACTTTAAAATAGGAATATTCACTCCTAGTCCGAAAGAGTTATTATCAAGGGACAAAATAAAACACTATTAATACAAACACCTATACTTAATATGAATGTCTACTATAGTGGAAAGTTACATAAAATCTTAAAGGTTTAATTATTCGAACTTACTTGTGTTGGCGGGAGGAGACGATTCAACTCTGCTAAATAGCATTTATTAATAATTTTCATTTTACTACGTATGGCATCAAACCACATCCGTGCTTCTTGTGCGTCGGCTGCACGAAGAAGACAAGATCTTCGGCCATCTGGACTGTGCAACTCAAAACAACAACCAGTTAGGTCTGGCAATGTTAAGTCTCTCACTAAATGCGTTAATCTTAATGGTACCACTCCAGGACCACCAGGACGTCCTGGATGTTCACCAGCACCTGAAGCTGAAGAGCTTTTAACGTTCGTATCACCCGATCCCATAGGAACGAGACTGCCAAGCTGAGTAGTAGGCCAACTCAAATCCGCAGAACAGGCTATAGTTTCCATACCTATCGCCCTGTAAATGATAAAAAAAGAAAAGGACCAAATTGTTTATTAGTCTGTGAATGTTTGAACAAATAATAGATGGCTGAATAAATGTTAAACTAGGCTTATTCAATGAAATGTAAAACTTCAGAAAAGTTTATTGTGATATCTAAAAAGAGTGAATTTGTCACTGAACTGCTTTCCCTGTTATTCTTTTTTGAGGAGGAACTTTTCAAATCCTAACCAGAATCTGCTACCTGTCGTATCATGGAAGTAAAAAGTTGAGACAAGTTGGCAAGTGGTATTGTATCTGAAATTATATCACAAAATAAATGAAAGTCATCATCAATATGCTCCCTGTCTTTTTTCAATTTATTACCTGAATGTCACTGTTATTTTTCAGAAAAAGGAAAATTAGCTGAGCAATGAATCTGTTTAACAGCAAATTGACCAGCTTGCCTTTTGATAAACACCGGGTTAAGGATACCAACAACTTTTATAAAAAACATTCTGTATAGACTTACCCAACTTAGTACGTGCAACCAATGGTTGCTTTCTGAGGCTCAAATTAAATAAATGCCTTCATAAAATACTAAGCGGAAGCTAACTGTGTTTATTTAGTTCGGTATGGCAGTACTCCACGATGATACAATTTGCACAGTTCAGAAATGGTCTGACTGCAATCAAACATTATACGGAAATTGTGACAGTAATAATCTGAGTATTCACTGTCAGTAACTCCTGGGCTTTAATTAACATTTTACACAAATCCAGACAATTGTGAATAAAGGTTATATATCTAAACCGAGTTCACGCTCATTAGTTTGAAACCTTTGGGCGACAGGTATATGGAATACTATTATTATAAACACAGTTTTTTGTTCAGAGAAGAAATTTCTTTTCAACGACTTCATTTTCAAGCTGTACAGTCGTATTTATATTACACTTAATAACCTTTTTCTGTAATATAAATACGACTGTACAGCTTGAAAATGAAGTCATTGAAAAGAAATTTCTTCGCTGAACAAAAACTGTGTTTTTACTTATGAATAAATGGGTATTTTTCGAGAATACTATTATTATAAAAGCTCTTGTATTTACTACTAAAGTTCAGCTGTTTGATGCTAATGGCTTTATCAAATTATTACTAAACTAGAATTTACAAAATAACAGCATATTTACAGTAATTTCATCACAGTTCTTCGGCATGAGGTGGATTTTAGTTGTCAAGTGGGTGAACTGATAAAGATAGCAAATAATAAATGATAAATGTGTTTACATAATGGGACTGACATCATATTTGTATTGACTTTGTCACTTCATGGATATAAATGTTGGAACAGGGTTAAACTCTTTCTTAGTCCATTATGCCTATCGATAAATTGTGGATTTCATTTAATACGAAGTGCTTCTGAAATTAAACATTCTTTGGTTTCACAAAGTCTTTGTATGATTTCAATAATGTCAAAGCTAATTTTATGAACTGACGCTATAGCGCGTGGACCTACAGCTACTGATCTTTTGAGCTTTTCTAGTCCCACAGAATTTCTCGGTGGTCAACTAGAGATTCTACGGTGTTCACTTCCTCTGAACTTAATTTGTCACGAGGTTTATTCAGTGTAAACTTTATCATATTCTATACGCATGACTATTTTATAGACACAAATCGTGATTCCTATGGAATTCGGTCATTCACATCAACATGATTACTTTTTAGTGCGTCTGATGCTTTGAGGAAAACTCTGATGTTTCATTTCTTCTGTTATCATCTGACTACCTGGTCTATGTAGAATGAAGGCTGTTGAGGTCCATTAAACGTGTTCAGAAATATTCAGCTAACTAAAGCAACATATGTTGACTTCATATGAACAACTTTAACGAATTTAGGACTGGAAAAATAACATTTTCTTCACGGGTGACTTAAAAATAAAGACTTTTCAGATCAATCAGAAGAAACATTTTATTTTTTTATTCGCTTATAATAAAGCTTAGAAAAGTATTGCTACAATCTCATACAATTTTTTGTTCCGGCATCTTTCCAGCTTTTTATATTAAAGTACCCGGATACGATACAATTTAGTAAAACAGAGACAAATACAAGGATGGTAGTTACAGAAATTTAAGACCGATTCTAACTTTTTCCGTACTCCCCCACTAGCACAGAAACTGAAAATTTCTAAATCTGTATGAACTTGTATTTGTAAGGGTGTATACTGAAGTCCATAGGAAAACTAAATTGTAACCACACTGAGAACAGAAGTTCCGCGTTTGTTGTACTAATGGCATCACCTTAGCATCAAGTTCCACAGTATGTAGATTGGAACTGTCGGTCTCTTGTTTACCTCCAGTTGTAAATCATTCCTTCTGACGTTAAGAATCATACACTACCTTAAAGACCCGCCCAAAAGTCCACGCCATTTCAAATGGATTAACTTACAATTAAACGTTTGTATTACAATTTGGACTGAAAAATAAAGTCATTTGTTAGCGTCACCCATTCAACAGTAAGAATTATCTCCTACTATTAGCAGCCAGTAATCAGTATCCAAAAATATTACCCATGAGTCAAAACACCTTCAGATATTACAATGATTCATCCTAAATCGTATCACTTCGGTAAATAAGCAAAGCTAGATTTGAATGTGTGTCACTTTTTAACAAAAATGCAATGAAACAAAACTCTCACCAAATTAAAACATTCGAGCAGGTATAAACAAACACTGCCACCAAGTGTTTTTGAAACTATGATAAGAAACTTTGTGTAAAACTGTTACTGTTAAAACTAAAAATGAAATATAAACAAAGAATGGTGGATAACTGACCAAAATAAACATGATAGAAACAATTAATTTTTGCAATCCAACTAAAAGTAACCTAAAATCACATTGATTGTTTTCCCAAATAATATCAGCTAAATATTTTAGATAGAAAGCTCTAAGTCAACTAAATGAAACTGAAAACAATAAATGCTAAATTACGACTAAGACATGATTCAGTTGGAAAATGAGAGCACTAGGCTCTTCCTCCTACTACAATAAATGCTAGTCAGTAATGAATATTCTTCGTTAAGGATAAAGCAGATATGAAGCGATTATTTGTTTCCGAGTGTTCATAGGCTGATATATATATATATATATGTAATTTCAACTGTGCGTATTTTCTGCGTAGAAATCCAGACTGCACTCTCTATTCTTCGATACAATGTGGTGAACAGAAGTAATTCACTAAATATTCGACTGAAATAAACTGATAGAGTATTAGTCTGTGTGTGAATACAATACCTACACTAATCGATAATATCAGAAAACGAAAATGGAAATTTTAGCCTGACTTACAAAAACTAAGTGGACACTAGGGTGCTCATATCACTTACAATCTAACACAGCAATTCATAGGAATTGTAAGTGTTTGTATACTTTAATACTTTCTAAACAGTATTTTAAATAAACAGTACGTAAGCAACTGGAACGAAAACTTTTAAAACAATGCTATAAAAAATCTGTTAATCAAAAGAAAGGAAAAGTAGAAAGAAAACCTGATGTGTATACGAAAAGTCTCTGAGATGCAGAAATTCTGGTCATCAATGGACTCTATGTGAAGCGACATGACAATTCAAATCAAGTACGTGACGTACTAACATGCATAACATTTCTTTCTGATACAAAATTATAAAAAGCAATGAGTGTTTAAAAATCAAAATCGAATGTATTCATGTAGTTTCAGTTCCATTCATCATATGAATACTCAGTAAAATTGGTTAGGTGGATCAAATACAACACGTGAAAAGATGTTTACATATGATGACAAATTGAGCCACAGTAATGAAGAAAATACTGCTTTATGTGCTACAGATTTTCCTTTCCATTTAATTTGTCAGCAAACATGTGAATTTAAATCGGACTGCAATGAAAAAATGACTTTCTACTGTCAAGTTTAGAGGTTGGAAGTTGAAGGCGCCAAATACAATAGACAGAACTCTCTCTAAGTCATACAAATAAATACTCTAACTTCAATAATCGAGAACCTCGAGTGGAAATTTTGAATTCACAGTGGAACATTACGAAAATGGTACTTGTTAACAGTACTTAAATTTCCCTGAAGTAAAAAGGACCAATTGGATTATAGAATGGTTCACTTAGTGAAAGCCTCCATGAAGTGGGTATGACACTCTCATTTGAAAGCTTTATTGATATACAGTAACAAAAGAAATCTGACTGGAATATGGTTTGATAGTACGTATAAAATTGTTTCTGACATCAAAATCGATTACAAAGCAGAGACTTCGAAAGATACCATATCTAATAATGAAGATTATCAAAGATTTGTTAGCAAGCACTTTATAGTACAGGCAGGGAAAACATTGTCCTTACATCTCTTAAAAGGTATATATATATATATATATATATATATATATATATATATATATATATATGGTAGAGCACGTTGACCGCTTCACTTATTTGGGAAGTACCGTCAGCCAGCCCCAACGGGTTGATCTCTGACGAAATCTCAGCACGGATACAGAGGGCTAGTTTCGCATATGCCAGTTTACGCCGTCTCTGGCGTAGACGAGATGTTCGACTATCGACCAAAGGGCGGGTGTACTGCTCATCAGTCCGCTCCGTCCTCCATTATGGCTGGCGGTGAGACCTGGCCACTGAGAGTGGAAGACATGAAAAGACTAGCTAGTTGTCTTTGATCATAGGTGCCTGCGCTCTATTTCACGTGTAAAGTAGCATAATAAGGTGAGCAACATTGAAGTTAGGCATCGAGTTCTAGGTAAACAGGGGAAATCAATCGACGAAGTCGTGAAGTTACAAAGACTGAGATGGTTAGGACATGTGTTGCGTATGCCAAGTCATCACCTCCCTCGACGAGCAATGTTAGCGGATATAGGGTCAGGCTGGAAAAAAGCTAACGGCGGTCAAACAAAAACTTGGCACCAGTCAATGAAATCCACAACAGTTGGTCTAAGCCACGTAGGAAGGTGTAAACTTCCAGGCTGGGGTCCTCGGGACGGTAAAAATCTAT